GGCGGGGGGGGGGAGGGGGTGCCGGGGGAAGCCGCTCTCTCTGCTCATATCCATGCCGGCGCTGCGCAGCTCTGGCTGTAACCCATCCAGAGCACAGCCCGCCTATCTCACAACAAAACCCTGCAAGTATTTTTCTTTGTCCGTAGCATTTGGGGGATCTCCCTCCGAGATTTTTTTCACCGTCCCAGAGCATCCTAAAAAAAAAAAAAAAAAGAGAGAAAAGCAAAGTTTGCCTTGCTCAGATGAAGCCCCACTCCCGCCAGTTCGGCATCGCCGTGTGCTCCCCCGTGGGAAGGCTTCGCTTTAACTTTACTTTCTACAAAATGTTATTATTATAAGGCTAATATCAGTTTTCAATGAAAAGAGCGCCACCTTGCAGGGTTTGGCGAGATAGAAAAAGTTGGAGCCCGGTGGGACTAAGCAGAAAGTGTTGGTACTTGAGGAAATGTAACCCATCGGGCAAAAGAGCCAGGGAAAAGAAAATGTTTCGTGCGCCGAAAATGTTACTTTCCGCCCATCTTTCAGGTTAACTGCTCCGCCGGCTTGAGCAGGCAGAGGTTTTAAAAAAATAACCTGAGCGTAGCTAAAAAAAAAATAAATTAAAATCGCGGAGGTAGTCTGAGCCATCCCACAGTAAAATAAACCCGGAGAAACGCGGTGGGGGTGATATATTTTAAAGATGCGTATTGCAAGTTTCTCTGAACTTGTGTAAAGTCCCTAGTGGTCGCGTAGCACAGATCTGTTTCTTGTGTGTATTGGAGCACTTGGTTAATGAGTATTCTTTTAAACTTTTGGTCTGAGGTTTGTTTGAGCGTCCTACAGCAGAAAGAATGATTTCAGTGTTGCTGCTGCTGCTGTTGTGCTTGGTTTTTTTTTATTATTATTATTTTTTTTTTATTATTTAATTTGGGGTGAGGGGGGACGGTGCAATCCTGGTTGCTCGCCATCCCGTGTGTATTCTGAATTAGCGACGATCAGTGGGGCTGGGATTGTCAGTCCACGCCATGGTTGTGCCGTTCATTTGGGCTCTGGAGAGGGGAGCGGGGCTTTGGAGCCCCCGGCAGGGAGAGGGGTGTTTTCTCAGGCGTGGGGGTCGTGAGGCGTCTCTCGGCTGTTTCACTCGCCAAAGCCAACTTTCCCCGGGAAGGCGCCCTTCGTGGGTTGCCTCCCGAGGGCTCGCAGGGGGACAGGCGAACCCCAGCCCTCCGGCTTCGACGGAGGCCGTGATTTCCTTTCCCCCGTCTGGCTCTCGAGATGCCGCCGGGGGTGTTTTTCCTGCGTGGGTTATTCCGTTTCCAAGGCGGGGGGCTGTTCTGCCCGGGGTCGCGCCGAGCCCACGGCAGGGCCGTACCGGCAGCCCCCGCCGCCCCTCCGCGCCGCAGCCAAAACGCCGGGGCCCGCCGTCCGCAGGCTCCCGCACACGCGGAGGAGGGAGATACCCCCAGCAGCACGGCAGCGCTGGCGGGAGGGCGCGGGAGGCTGTGCGGGGTGGGTGCGTGTCCGTGTGCGGGCCGTGTGTGCTGTACCCTGTGGGGCGGGGTGCCCGCGGGGCGCGCACGGCAGCCCCCGGCCGTGCGGGTGCCGTTCGCAGGCAGAAAGTTAAACGCGAAACAATAATCGGGCGCTTCCATTTCTCCCCCCCCTCCAAAGTTTCGCCTTTCAGGTCGCTTTAATGGCTTTGTGAATGATCGCTTGAATTTTTTTTTTTTTTTTTTTTTTTTTTTTTTAAAGGCGAGCCCGGCATTCGTAAGGCAAAGTTAGCTTCTTTAGAGCAGACACGGTTTGAAATGGGGACACACGGTCCGCGCCGGCCTCGACTGCTCATCGCCCTCCTTGTAGCCGTGAGGAAGCGGCAGTCCCGGGACCGGTGCACGGAACGTCGGGACTTTTATTTACTGCTTTTTCTGGCCACGCTGGGGAAACGGCTCCCACTTTGTTAAGTTTTCCCACGTCCAGGGCTCTTATTCCTTTCGGAGCAACTTTCCGAGGGAGCTAGCGGAGAGCCCGGCGGCGGGCCGGTGCCGGGGGGCGCGCACAGAGCCGCGCAGCGCTCCCGGGCTGGCGGCAGCCCCGCAGCGGAGTCGGAGCCCCGCTAC